CATATTTCGTAACTATGTATTATACACTTGATGGTCGTGGCGACTGCTTTGTGCATGTAACATATTTTTTATATAATTTATCTACACCTGTTATTTCTATTAATTATAACCTATAAATGTGCCTACGTTTTGTATGGAAAAGGGCGAAAATTGCCCAATTTTTATCCATTCCAGATATTATGTTTTCAACAGATTTGGTTCCGAACAAATGTGTCGAATATGGCGTATATGCATGCATGCATGCAGTACACTATCATTGTCGTTATTAACCAACAATAATAATAAGTTTCTTGTACATTAACAGCCTATGAACACAAAAATTGATTTGACATTGATATTTTTTTTTCTTAGTAATAAAAAATGTTAAGTAGTTGGACATATCTTAACAACTTGACCTCATGGACTTGTATTGGTTCACCAGACGACGCGGTTTATAATACTTTGTTTAGTCAAGTGAAAATATGCAAATTAGCCAAGGTCACTGGTGATTACTGATTGATTGCTTTACTTTATTTACTTTATTGAGAATGAGTTGCTTTAATTTGTCGAGGAACGATATTATAACTGCCTCGTTGGCCGAGTGGTCGCAAGTGCGACTGCCAGGCAAGGGGTCTCGGTTTGATTCCCGGGTCGGGCAAAGTATTACTGGGTTTTAAAAAATTCTCAGTAGTAGCACGGAGTATGGAATTGTGCCCGGTATATGGCAATAGGCTCACCCCCTATTACATGGGACTCATAACATAAATAGTGAAAAGTAGGTGTTAGGTACATTGTACAGTGGCATAATGTGCACCTCTGCCTGCCACTTTGGGAATAAAAGACGTGATGTTAAGTAAGTAAGATATTATGACAAACAATAAGAAATGTAAAAGCAAATTCGAAACTTTAGAGCTTTTTAAGGGGGAAAAATTTGCCTTGGATGAGGCGAGAGGAAGCGTCTGACTCTTCATTATCATCATCATCAACAGCTTATAATGGCCTCTTCTCACACGGAGAAGGTTTGAGTCAAGTCCTCCACGGCTCCGCATTGGACATCAGCCGTTTTAATATTATAGTTTATAGTATGTTCTTTAAAATAAATGTCTCAATTCAATATATTTGAATATTCTAAGTAATAACTGAGTAAACAAACCTAATTTAGGTTTCAATATAAATATATCGTTTCGTTCATTTAAGAAAAATGTATGAGATTGACATTAGCTTCCGAAAAATAATATGATGAAGCGTATTGAAAATAAAACATTAATGATTTTTAAAACAAGTAAAAGGTAATCACTGTGACCTGATGTCAATATCAACGCAGCAGGTGCTGTCAAATTCATGCATGATCGAAATAGTCAATAACGTATTAACAACCTATTAACTGTTATTTAAAAAAAAATACTAACGATGAACATAATATTGTTGTCGACATGTGGAATGTAGATTCGGTTATCATTGTGCCGATAGTCGTGTCGTCCAATGGGTTAATCCCTAATAGCCTCGACAACCACCTTAGGAGGCTAGCTTTAGGCAGTTGGGTCAAGAGCTTGATTCAGAAGGCAGTTCTCCTTGAAACGGCGCGCATTGTGAGGAAGTTTCTGTCTCTGGAGCCCATAACCACCGGTAGCTTGGACCATGCTCCCACTACTGGTCGGCTCCTATTTTTATATTTTTAAATATTATTTTTTATTCTGTAGTCTTTAAAAATGTAACTTTAGAGGAATTTTAAATAAATATATGAACATAATATCTGTACTGCCTTCGCTTTGGTCTACTTTTTTTGTATTAGGTTGAAGGCCGTGCAGCAGCGCTCACTGATAAACCAGAAAATTTTACAGTGGTCACTTACCTCCTCGACTATCGCAGACATTATAGCAAACGTACAGATTATAACCAACCTGTGTTGTAGAGGAAGGTCATCATGTGCAGCGGTGGATTGTCAAGAATCGGTCAAATTCATAAATAAAAAATTGAATAATCAAAACAAAAAAGAAATCAACAACTGCCTCGATGGCCGAGTGGTCGTAAGTGCGACTGCCGGGCAAGGGGTCTGGGGCTCAGGTTTGATTTTTTTTAAACTCAGTAGTAGCACGGAGTCTGGAAATGTGCCCGGTATATGGCAATAGGCTCACCCCCTATTACATGGGACTCATAACATAAATAGTGAAAAGTGGGTGTTACTTCTGTGTGCACTGCCTACCCCTTTGGGTATAAAAGATGTGATGTTATATAAATATAAATATTCACACTAACTTTTTTAGGCAATGTAATAACATATTAACAACAGTCATATAAGGAGACACCTGTCTTCCATCCGGACGTAGATGACAAAATATCACATCTCACGCACTTGACCTTATATTAGAGAAATTCAGGCCAAGTTTATCTAACCTAACCCTTGTAAACGAGCACATCAAGCTAACCCAATTCGCCAAAATTCCGTATTAGAATTCCAACCTTATAGAATTGCGATAAAATCGAAAATCTTATGAAGAAACTTGACGTTTTGGGATAACTTGATGTGCGTTTGTGCATTGTAGGTTAACAGAATTACCTCTTTATGCCACGGCCGTCCTGTTTGCTAGTGAGCCTAAACCAATATTAGTTTAACGAAGGTGTGGAGTTTGTTATGAGGTGTTTCGATTATCTAAGAACCATTGATCCATATAGTAAAGGAGCCAGTTGTTTACTTGTAGCTTATTGGTAGTTACATACTGTGATGTGATATTGAAATAGAAAGTGATTCCCAGGAATGGCTGAAAAAACTATTTTTTTTTAAGGGGGGAAAATCATCGAATATCTGCTCCCGCCTGGGTGAGGTGGGAGGGAGTGTCAGACTCTTACTGACTAAAAACCACCCCGTTCCTTCTCCTGCATATCGAGCCGGAGCGCCGGTAACCCGTTAGGTTCTCCGCGACTTGAGAAAAGTATAGGCACTGATCTGTGTATTTGCTTCATGGGTACTGATAGTGTATCAATGTTTCACAGATGGGGCCCAATAGGGCTAACGCCGGTACGGAGCCGCGGAGGACTTAACGGGTTGCTGGGGCTCCGGCTCGAAGGGCAGGTGTAGGAACGGGGTGGGTTTTAATCAGTAAGAGTCTGACACTCCCTCTCGCATCACTCGGGTAGGAGAAGTCATTGGATGATTTTTACTCAAAAAAAAATTATATCAATGTTTGTTTGTAGTACCTACTATGATTCATCAACAGTAGCCTGCTATAGTCCACTGGTATGGGTCTCCTCTATAAAAAGTCCTCTACATACATCCACAATCTCCACCTTTGGCTTGGGGATCGTAGTTTGGTCACCAGAAATAAAGAATGCTGCCGCTCGTTGTAAGCTGATCGTAATTAAGTCATACTCGGATCCCGCAAAAACAATTGAAGAACACAAATTGTAATAACACTGAGCCCTTACTATTTTTTCTCAAAAGATAAGATTGGGCTTAGACTGTACTTGGTGATATTACATCATGATTTCCAACATAACATGACATAGCATCACACCTTTTATCCCCGAAGCGGCAGAGGTGCACATTATGCCACTGTACAATGTAACACCTATTTTTCATTATTTATGTTATGAGTCCCATGCAATAGGAGGCGAGCCTATTGCCATATACAGGGCACAATTCCAGACTTCGTGCTATCACTGAGATTTTTTTTTAAAACCCTCTAATACTTTGCCCGACCCGGGAATCAAACTCGAGACCCTTGGCCCCAGTAGTCGCACTTGCGACCACTCGGCCAACGACGCAGTCATAATTTATACCCAAGCCGAAATTATAGTAACACTAACCAAGTTCCAACCAGGGAATTCCGAAGTCATGCTCCGTAGTCACTCACGATGACTAAATACTCAGCCAGTCAATAAAGTAACTTACTCAATCACTAGGCTTTCTAATAAAGTTAATCCAAGGTTTGACTCAATGTAAAATTAAAACGTAGTTTACTAAAATTGAGGGCAAATAAAAGGAGGTATTTAGCTACAGAACTTCCTACGGCTTCCTTTTGACCTTGGTAAAGATAATGCTCCTCGCAAGGATAGACGAAAATTTCTAAATCGATTTCACATTAATCGTTATGTTATTCGATTAAGATTCAATTTGCTTTGAGCGTAGATAATATGAAAAGAAAACTTTATTAACTATGCTTGGTTTTTCTCCGTACGTACGCGGACTTTGATATGATCAATTAGCGTAGTAAATAAAAGAGTAGGATATTATTATTGACTTCAGAAATGTCTATTAAAACTATATGTTCAGTTTCAATTTGTTACTTTGCTGTTCTATTTAAAGTCTGTGCATGTAAATGGAGGTATGTTCATCTGCTTAAACCACTTGTACATATTGTTAAAAAAATAACATGTAGTATTAGATGGATACTACTTAAATAGATGAACCAGTGATGGTTTTTTTTCATACATTACAGGGAACTATGAGATTCAGATTTTAATAAAAAAAAAACATTTATTATATCTAATTCACTTTGTAACTCTATGATAAGATCATAAAATAGTCTCATTGACGCTTTGATGCATATTACTTCTTCTTACTTGCAAGATACAATTGAGTTATTAGGCTGCAAAGCACCTTCTATCTGCTAGAGTAATTTAGGAGTAGGTACTAGTATTCCAAAGTATTTCAATCGATTAAGGACTTGTAATGAAAGAAAATCTAAGAATACGTCTGTATCGCCTTTTAGATTTCAAGGTCATTTGCATTACACAAAACTGAAGAAGTTTTCAATATCCGAAACGAAGGAGAAAATTGGGAGTTTATTGAAAGGCGTTCCTTCAATATGGGGTCTCTACATTAATGTAGATCTTAACACACGTATATTTACAATTAATTGAGAATCATAAGTACAAATGATAATTTAAACTTTAATTCAAATATAGTAAGTCACAAAATATATAACAAATTATATTATAGAGCTGATAAACCAATAGAAATCCGCAAACAATTCAACCGCAACTCACGGCACAAATATTGCTAAACAGAACAAAAAACTCACGTGCAAACTTCGCCGTGCAGTCGCTGACGAAAGACGCCGCCGACACCAGAACGAAAACCAAAACATGTCTCCTCTCACACATAGTAACACTTTCGATCGAACCGCGCAAACGGTGAAGACCACTAAAACCTGGAGCGAACTAAGTACGCTGACCCTCGTGTCTATGCAGTTCGCTTATGTAAATAGAAACAAGTTCTTTATATCTATTGCATAAATTTGGCCAACTCTTTGCCAATGTGAAGCCTGGTTTTCACGGAACGCTAGCCACTAATCCGTTCCACAAAATGTTCGCGACGTGAATGCGCCAGCCTGCCTGCGCCTACGACCGTATTCTGGGATATTGCACCGCGATTGGCCAGCTGTGTTGTTTTCGAAAAGTCGGTTCAAGTACGAAGGTCGTGGTGTCGAAGTTTGTGTACTTAATACTTTCGTTGTAGTGGTGATGTGCGGACGTTGATTCACGTTTTTTAGTCGGAAAATGCCGTGACCTGAATTTGATATAGGTCCTTATAATTTTCCTGGATGTTATTTTTGAAGTTGTTGATGTCAAAGGACAGCCCCTTTGAATTGCATGCAATATGAAGACCATGAAAAGTACTTGGGTATTCATAAAGTCTACTTAACTACATATAACTCGTCGAGTACCGGTTTTATAGACACAATTAAAGAACAATAGGTCGCGGTCACCGGTGGCCGCTTGGTATTTGACAGTTTAAGAAACGTGTATGAACCTTAACATAGAGTTACTAGTTTATATTTCTAAGAACACCTACTCATAACTGGCAACTTAGTTTTTCCTTTCGTGGAACCATTATCAGTATTTCAAGTGTAAGTATGTATATTAATTTGATACTCTTTGCCACAAAGGAGTTAAAGAAAAACGTCGCGTATCATTTACTTTTTACGTTGCGTAAACTGCAAGGCAACTAAGCGAAACGGGTTAGCATGGTGGTTGCCGGTAACCTATTACCAGTAATTGTGCAAGCCAACCTTAAACCCAACAGAATTACGGAATAATAATATGTCATAAAATTAAAATGATACTGATGGAGTTTACAATTTACAAGTATTTTATAATTTTGCAATAAGTAAATGTCAATCTGAAGTTGTCGATCGTAAAATCGTAAATACTTTATCCTTATAATAATCATCTTGTTTCCATCCACTACTGGACATAAGTCTCTCCAATCGCACGTCACTGGTATTTTCAACCCTTTGTATTCAACCACTAATAGCAATTTTTGTAAATAGTTACTACATCGCAAATACTCCTTCAACACTGACGATATCACAGGTACGTTGCTGACGGTATTGGAAACTGTTTTACTTCGCCATCATGTTCGGAATGATAACCCTCCTCTAAAATTATGGTGCCATTAAATGGGTTAATTTAACCGTCCCCAATGCGTTGATATTAAAGACCATCAAGGTCATTGCTAAAATGTTACTATTTTAATACTATATTTGAAAGCCTCCTTGCTTTGTATTGTTGTCATTGCTGTCTCAAATCCACATCTTACATATTTCAAACCTAATCAATTGATTATCAATAAAAAGTCAAGAAAAAAGTCATTCCAAAATAAATAATGACGATAAGGGTACGAATTTTACATAAAAAATATATATATCATTTTTTTCTGTACATAAATAAATACTGCTGCCTCGTTTGCCGAGTGGTCGTAAGGGCGACTGCCGGGCATGGGGTCTCGGATTCGATTCCCGGGTCGGGCAAAATATTACGGGGTTTTTAAAAAATCTCAGTAGTGGCACGGAGTATGGAATTGTGCCCGGTATATGGCAATAGGCTCACCCCTTACATGGGACTAATAACATAAATAGTGAAAAGTGGGTGTTACTTCTGAGTGCACCTCTGCCTACCCCTTCGGGGATAAAAGGCGTGATGTAAGGCGTATGTATATCATTTTTTTTTATTCTTTACATAAATAAATAAATAATAAATGAAATAACTAGCTGTTTCAGTTGAAGTGAAGGTGCGTGTTCGTTGCATTTGTGCATCTAATCGTTTCAAGGTTTGAGAGCCTACGCTGTGCATCGCGCGAGCATTGCTTTGGTGGCGAAACAGTTAATAACTTTCATGATTCATCAAGAAGTTTGTACTTATTGGTATTTTCCAGTAAATATAGAAACACTTGAAGTTACAGTAATCAGATTGATTTTCAACTGTATTGCAAAACGATAAGGTTGAATATTATGTTGTCAGATTTTGGATAGCTTGATGTGCTTGCGTATCCACATTACATTGTGTGGGATATTCCTATTGTAATTAATGTGTAGAAATCCTATTTTCATACGAATTTGTATTTAATTACATTGCAAAAATCATTAGTGGCTTTATGGATTTTTTTTCTCTTTATTTAAATATAATAAAAATCTTTAAATCTAAGGGGATTATGCCAGACTCATCGTGTCCATGAGAATTATTGGAGTAGCGAAATATTAGGATCTGTCCAAACTACAAACAAACTCATAGATCTTAACAGCACCGTCACAGTATGGCTTGGACAGAATGGACAGAATGGACTGAAAGCACTTATTTCTACAACATTAATGTTCAATTCTTGAATTAATATTTCTCTCTCTCTCTTTTATATCGGACACATTCCAAGTGTTGGACATCTTCTATTACTCCGCATGCATCACAATTTGGACTGCTTGTTTTCCTCATGTGGCTTTATGGATAAAGGTAGGAAAAACGATGTGAATAAATATAGAAATTGTTTTTTTATCTACCTTTTCTTCTAGCAGTACACTTTTTATTACTCAAAGGGGTAGACAGAAGTTATATAACATAACACGAATTAATTTCATCTTGTAATGAGATACACAAGAAAATAAGTTAAAAGTTTAATTGGTGTCTGCGTATTAAATGAAAATTAACATAACATAAATATCACGCCTTTATCCCCAAAGGGGGTAGGCAGAGGTGTACATTATGCCACTGTACAATGTAACACCCACTTTTATATTAAATGTTATGAATCCCATGTACATTTCCAGACTACGTGCCACTACTGAGAATTGAAAAAAAAACAGTAATACTTTGCTTGACCCGAGAATCGAACCCGAGACCCCTTGCCTGGCAGTCGCTCTTGCGAAACGGCAGTCAGCCAGTTAAAAGAAAATTAACAAGCGTAATTACATATTTTTATTATGTAAATGAATCCCAATTGTATATAATTGATGAAGTAATCTATCATAATGAAATATGATTATGGTATGTGAGATTAACATTATTTATGCTATTATTTTGATTAATCTTTAGTTTTACACGCAAACACGCATACATCTCTGCGATCAGGGCCGCCTTAGACTACGCCTTTGGGCAAATAATCGTTCGGGGCCCTTGTGGAATGCTTCTTTTCTTAACATTACCCCACGTTAGGATTTTCTCCTGCATCCTTTACAAACATACAAATTCACATACACATAACACCCACACCAGAAACAATAATTTGTGGACCACACAGAGATTTGGTCCATGCAGAAATGTGTGTCAGTCGTAGAAATCAGTCCTTCGGAGCCCTTAATGACGAGGGCCCTGGCCCTACTGTCTGCAATAACCAGTAATTAGAGACTGATTTCATGGTAAATACCACTTTATCAGCAAAATTCATTAATTATTATTTTACTAGCTTTTACCCGCGGCTTCGCTAGCGTCACAAAAGGATAAAAAATAGCCTATGTGACATATACCAATACACACAGCGCCATCTATACCAATATTTTTGTTTTCCCTCGGGAATATCAAATTTTTCCGGGTTAAAAAGTACCCTATTATTTAATCCGGACTTCAAACTTTACGTCTGCAAAATTTCAAAGCAATCGGTTTAGTAGTTACGGCGTGAAAGTGGAACAAACAAACAAACTCACTTTCCGATTTATAATATTATATAAGTAAGGATAGGTAGTGACATGTACTTAAACTTCAAACATTGACCTACCTCAACCATCTTCACAAAGAGAGATTACCTATGTAAGTACCCATACCTATTTACGCGTGATAGGACCAATTTGATCATAAGTAACACATCAACAACCCAGCTATTAAAAAAAAACTAAAAGGTGTACTACTGAGCACTGGCCTCTTTTCACACTGAGAATTTGAGCATTAATCACTATGCTTGCTCAATGCGAGTTAGGCGATTTCAAACTTATAAATCAGAAATTATGAGATTAGATTTCCTCACGAGGTTATCCTTCATCGTAAGTCAGTGGTGTCTAAATAATTTTAGGAAGTACATATACCTAAATCAGAAAAAGTTACATTGATACTTGCCGTTGGTAGGTTTCGATGCGCACCCTCATACATGAGAAGCGGGCATCTTAAGCCTCCGGCCACAGATTTTTTTTTCATTTATGTAGGCATTTTTAAGATAAATTTAATGGATTAAATATGGCTTTCTAGTTAAGTACTTAAAGTATCCCCAACATAGCAAAATTCAATTTATTTTTCTTATCTCAAGGAAACTTTGAACACGGAGGATAGATTGTTAACCTATATAATTAATATTCAAAATTTACTGGCATTTCGTTAAGTACTACAAACAGAAGAAAATAAGGAGATTAGCTCTGTTACCGTTCAAAAGACAGAATATATTGATTAAATAAAAGGTGATATGGATTTTGAAGAAAATATTTTCTTAAGCTTTATTGTTCGTGTTGGTTGCATTATTTTAATCTCAAGAAAGCAATGTTAGGTAAAAAAATCTATTAATAAATAATGTTTAACTTTCATGAACCCTAAAGACTTATATATAACATTACTTCATTTCGAAACTTAACTTAAATACTCATGGGTTGAAAAAAACACGGAGGAAACCTGCAGTTGGTGCGAATACCGAACTGCGGAGACTTAACGGGTTACCGGGGCTCCGGTTCGAAGAGCAGAAGTAGGAACGGGGTGGTTTTTAGTCATTCAGAGCGACTCGTAACTCTTAAGAAAAATATACATATATCAACCACACTTACATATTTTCTCCCTTCACTTATAAACTAATAAATGCATCGCAAGACATTACTAAACACATTGCGTGTGCGATATTCCTATTAGTTTTGGAATTT